AAGCTGATTTAGTTGAAAATGTATGGGCAAAATTCGGTAATCAAAATTAATAATGGTTGTATGTTTTCAATTTCCCTATGTATTCAATAAAATGTTTTAAACATTATTGTATTCTCAATCTATTCAATAAAACCTTATAAAATTATTTTATAACCATGTTTTAAAAATATTCTCTTTGTATTGAATTTTTTTTTTTTTTAAATTATATTTTATTCCTAAGAACCCGGAATTCGGATTCACTAATGGAGGCGCATAATTGAGACGGGTTTATCACTGTTCACGACCCCACCAAAAAATTAATAAATATGTACATCTATATAACTATAATCATCTAAACCGAAAATAAAATGGTTATAGTTAGTTCTAAAATGGTTATATCCATATTTCCACACAAAATATTGAATTTGAGACTCTTTTTTTAGAACTAAAACATTTATGTGTGTACGCCAATTTTATCTTATATATTAAAACAGAAGTCATGATTTGATTTCATGTGTGATTTTTTTAAAAATAGACTATTACTAGAAAGTTATGTTACATTAACTCTCTAATAATTTTATCATTATTATAGCTTATAATACGCTTAACAATTTGGTTTTGGTAAATTACCCCACGCCTTCCAACTTAGTCACACAAAATATGTCAATAGATATAAATTTAGGAATCTTCTATTATTTATAAGGAAATATGTCAATAATAGTTAAATTCATCCACAATATATTAACAAAAATCACATATTAGTATTATGGAATATTTATATACCTTAACAAAATTTACACGCTATATATATTAGATAAATTTATTTTGATGTAAATTTTTAAAATTATATTGTTTTAAAAAAATTGTTTAAATAATTCTTTTTAATAAAATTATTTATAATATTAATTTATGAAGCTATAAGTTTAGTTTTTAGCAAAAATTTCTTCGAAGTTTATATTATCTTTGCAAATTAAAATACACTAATATTTAATCAAGCTCTATTTATATTACTTTATCTAAAAATGAAATACTAATCTAACAAACAATAAAATATAGAAGAAGAAACAAACACATGTTTGAAAACATGTATAATATAGAAAACTTGAAATAATCTATTTGATTAAAACACTCATTATATAATACTATTATGTTTGAAAAACATTTACTATACATATCGTAAATATGTGATTACTATAATATATACTAATTTACAAGTGAAAACAAATTGTTTATATAACTAACTATAAACAAAAACAAACACCCGCGCGGTTGCGCGGATCAAAATCTAGTTTTGAGATTAAGATTCAGTTTATAATGAGTAGACCGTTCTACTTCTATGGTAACATATATATGATCATGTTATACTAATAGTGAATAATTTTCAGCTCACCTCTAGACTCTAGTAAACTTGAAAACTTTATATTCTAATTTTTAATGAAAATTAGTTAAAGGAACAGAAAAGAAAAGAGGAAGTGAGCGAGATCAATGGACGGACCTGTTGCGCCGCCAGGTCCAGCCGGGAAAGCAGCAAAGTGATAGAACTGAGACTGAACATGAACCACCGTGAGCAAGTCACCTTCCGCTTCAGCCGTCTCAGTGGTCATTAAGAGGTCAGAGAAATGGTCAATAACCCATTGAAGAGCATAGAAGCTCGAATCGCTCTCGTCTATCGCAACCATCATCCTTTTTGTTCTTGTCATGACTCTCGGTGCCTCAGCCTCTGTCGTCTCCGGCTGCTTCTCCACCGTCGATGTTTTCAACGCCGCCGTTGCGTGATTATCCGCCATTGCTCTCCGTTTTATGTATATATACTTTCAGATTAAATGATCATGTGACAAACTTTGTTTTTCCTTTGCAATGCTTTATATTACATGCAAATGATGATAAGTCATGAAACTTAACAGACACGTGGCATGCATGGTTCAGATTGTAACGTGGAATAAGAAGACGTACCTTAACTTTATTTTTTGTGTTTTTTTTGTCGGCCTTTATTTTTTTGTTTACATGCTAGAAAAAAGGTTATGCTTATGGAGTGTTTAATTAAAACCATCAAGAGGACTTCCTCAAGGAGATGCTTTATCCCTATATTTATTCTTTTTTGTGCCGAAGAATCAAATGGTTGATAGAACCATCTTCAGGGTATAAAGCTTGTTTGTTATTGTCCTCAAATTAATTATCATTTGTTTGCTGCGACTTAGAGGGATGCTATGGTTTTGGCTAGAGTGTTTGAGACAATTATATGAAACAATCTTGGGTCATAAAGTAAACTACAACAAGTTCTCAATTAATTTTGGAAGTAAGATTAATGAAAGTTTGAGATTCGGAATCAAATAAGTTTTGAAAATTACGAATACATTTGGAGGAGGTAAGTAATTGGGCTTCCAAAATAGTTTGGTCGAACGTTCAAGTTCCAGTTCATTGTCGATAGTGTTAAGAATTAGATCTCTCCCTCATTTAATCAGTTCCTATCACAAGTTGAAAAAGAAGTTCTTATTAAGTCTGTCCTTCAAGCTAACCAGTATATTCAATGAGGTATTTTCTCATTCCAAAACCATATATGATGAATTCAACTCACTCATACCATAGTTTTGGTGAGGTCAGAACAATGAAAAATTAAAAAATCTACTAGATCGCTTGGAAACTTTATGTTTACCTAAAGTATGGGCTTCTATGATCTTTACAATGTTTCCCTATTAGCTAAACAAGCTTGTGATCTTTACAATGTCTCCCTATTAGCTAAACAAACTTGGAAGATTTATCATAATCAAAATTCTGTACTCGCAAGAATTTATAAAGGTAGATATCATAACTCTTCGACATTCTTACAGTCGACGAGTTCAAGATCAGTCTCGTATGGTTGAAAATCTATCCAAAAGAGTAAGGAACTTCTTCAACAAGGGTTAAGAATTCAAATTACTAATGGGAAAAATACTGATCTATGGGAAGATCATTAGCTTCCAGTTATCCCACCCAGGAAAGTTACTCTCATTTCGAAAGATTAAGCAATTCCTATGGAAACGTGTTTCTGGTGCACTTTTCTACTCTCGTTCAACTATGCTCACGTGGAATTAAGACTGATCCGGTGTGTCAGGAGTGCTGTATGGAGGAAGAAACAATTGCTCATGCTTTATTCTTATGTCCTCATGCTATGGCAGTGTGGAGATGCAGTGGTCTTTCCAGCACTGGTATTTTGACATAGAATCTCGAGTAGAATTTGAAGTGTTCTTGGACATTTCTATTGGTGGTAATAATATTTGCAAACATACTTTTTGGACGTTATGGTTTATTTTAAAGTCCAAGAATGAGTTTATTTTCTCCAAACGTAATATGCATATTAAAGATACAAGACGAGCTCTAGAAATAAATGAAGAGTGGATGATGTCAGTGGATTCTCATCATCTCAATGTTTCAAACAAGGACAAACTTTCTCAATGGGAACTCCCTCCTTCATAATGGTTAAAGTGCAACTTTGATTGTAGTTACAGAACTAATGGTACTTCGGGAATGGGCTGGATTGTGAGAAATGAGTATGATACGGCATTTTGGTTCAGGGAATGCTTACAATGAATGGAACTGCATCCGCGATAGAAGGTGAGGCAATAGGCTTCTTATTGGGTTTACAACAGATCAAAGGATGGCACAAAGTAGAGTTTGGAGGAGGTAGTGAAGAACTAATCAATTGCCCTGTTCGTTTGGTTGCCGCAGGTTTCG